CCTCTCCCCTCCCATGTGGAGCCTCTTCCACCCCCATCCCCTTTCCAAAGGGAAGCTATTTAAAACTGTCCCTTGCAGTTTTCAGTACTATGCCTCTTTCTCTGTTCTGGGTTGCAAAAACCCTGGGAACAAGCTGGCAGAAAGTCAGAGCTACTGGTTCTGTGAGGGGCGAGGGACACAAAATCCCCTTTAGTTCACCAATGCTGGAGTTAAAGCAGGATTCCTTGAACGATCAGAGGAAGAAACTACATTTCCCATCTATACTTTTTTTTTTTTCTTGATATATTTTTCTTTTCACCATTTATATATTTCTTCTTTTGGAATCTCTAGATAGAAACAGTGCCTTGCATAGATCTTCTAGCTTCTTCCTATTGCTAGGCCCTGGGATGCTGTGTGTTACCTAAGTCAGGATAGGCAGGACTTCAGAAAAGGATATGGTGTATCTGGTCCTTGCAACTCTCCCAACTCAGCCTCTCCCTGGCCCTCCTCGCTTCTCCCTGCCTCTCCCTGCCTCTTCCTGTTCCTCCTGAGCTCAGTTTAGCCAACCCTTGGATCAATCCACAGGGTCACTATGGCAATGCTATTGAAAAGTTTTTGTTAAGTAGTAACAGACCTCCAGAGCCTCTGGCTACCACCATGCCCTTTGCAGTGCCCAGACAGCATCACATGCATCAGGAGTGGTAAGGAGACTTAAGTTGCAGCAAGGCATAGAGAGGCTTCCCTAAGTCCCTCTACTACGACTTCCCACAAGACTCACTATGTATGCTGCACTCTAGCAAATATCCCTTTCTACATCAAGAATTTGCAGTATTTATAATGTTGCAATACTTCCAGAAAATACCTGCTAGGGAAGCATATGCTTAACAGAAAGACAATGGGCATGGCTTGTGAGGCTTCCCAGACAGTGGGAGCACCTGGAAATCTTCCTAATGGATTGAGTTCATTTCGTTCCAGATGTCTCCTGGGGAGCACTGACCCTTCCAATGGTTGTTACCATTGTCCATTAGGCTTGCCCCTGCAATTATTACTTCTACTTTCTCTGTTTTCTTTCCCTGATTAGCTTTTTCAACCCTTTTCTCATATGCTTAGCAATAGTGATCAATATGGATCAATACTTCCGTCATTATGACACTCAGTTCTACTGACTAATGGCTAATGTGTATTCAATAATATATTTGTTGCCATTGATCACAAGTGCAAATTCATAATGCCTCTGAGTGAGAGATATGGATAAATGGGAACACACACAGAGGCCAGTTCATTCGTTTAGAGCTGTTCAGCAGGTGTCTATCACATGTGTTCATCATGCAGTGTCCTCAGCTTTAGCCAATGTCCCTGCCCTCTAGAACTCCATAGTTTTACAGAGGGTGAAAATTTCTAAGTTGATAAGTGAATATATAGCATTTGAAGTACTAATGTAGAAAGGCCCACATCCCTAGAGGTAAAAGATGGCAAGTTCAAAGTCAGCCTGTATAAAAAGACCATGTCCATAAATAAAGGAAAAATTCACAACCTATGGAGAAGGAAGAGAACGGAGAGTATGATAAGGTCTTGGGGGAGGAAGCAGACAAGGTTTTTGTATTGACAACACACTTCCAGCTGTGACATACAAGTCACTGGAACTAGCTTAAGCAACAGGTAGATGTTTCATTATTGATATTTAGGGACTCTAAGGATGGCTCTGGCTTTGTGACTGAGTAAATCTGGGGCCCAGACAATGTTTTAGTGTCCTGTTTTCTGTCTTTGTCCTGCTTCTTTCTGCATTGGCCTCATTTTCCCCAACTTGTAACCTGGCAAAAACAGCCACTCAGACAAGTGTCACCAGTGTTGTAGAGGAAAGAAGGGGTTCATCCTCTTGTCCTCATACCTGGTGTCTATCCTTGGAAACATCTCTTATCCATTCTCTTTGTGTCACTGGGCCATCACTTACACCAATCACCAAGATAAAGGCATATGACTTATGCAGGCTAACTCCTATGTAAGTCTGACTGGCAGGATGAGCAGGAGTGTGTGATTAACCCTGTTTGGTGTTCCATGGGTACCTCTTACACCTGCATTCCTCAGAGGAAGGATGGTCAAGAAGATAAAGCCAACAGCAGGCTATCATTAGAGCATGGTGGATATTTAAGCTGTGCTTTCAAAGGCGAATAGTTTTTGTCAAATGAAGCAGTAAGAGGCCTCCATTATTGTTGGAGAAAGCAAAAGGATTAAAACCAGGAAGACATGTGCTGGCTCAGCAGGTCAGGAAGCTGCAGAGTTTGTTGAGGTTGAAGAATATGGACTGAGGGTTGCTCCTTATGGTGAAGATGAAGGATACAGGACCACCTTTTAGGCCATGCTGAGGAATCTGGTCTTTGCAGTATAGCAGTATAGACAGTCTGGGTTTTAGGTAAAGGCTAAGGATGGCTGGATTTCCATAGTAGAATATTGCTGTGGCCTTCTGTAGAGACACATGCCTGTAATCCTAGCCCTCAGGAGACAGGGGCCAGAAAATGATGAGTTCAAGGACACTCTGGTCTACACGGTGAGACCTTGCCTCAAAAATAAAGAAGAGCATCCCTCTGATAGCAATTATAGACAGAGACTTGGTTAATGGGGGCCAGTAAGGAAATCACTACAGTAATCCAAATAGATCTTAGGTGTAAGCATTGAAGTCTGGTATGCTAAAGGTCCTAATGTAGAATGTCTACATTGGTGGCATGAAGAAAAACACACAGAAAATGGGGTGGGGCCCACAGGACACTTATCTTCCAAGAAAGTGAATATAGGATGACTCGAGGGAGTGATGCCACTTGCTGAGATGAACACAGAAGGACCAGATGTGAAGAGAGGGTGAGGGGGATGAGTGAGACACCAGCTGCTTGTATTCATGGAAACAGAACACTGGACTTGCCAGCCATAGCTGTTGAAGGAGGCTCAGTGTGGGCACGTGGAGCTCAGAGGCAGCGGCAGGATTATGGAATTATGGGGTTGATGAGACCAAAGGTCTCAAGAGTTCTTGGTTTGCTTTTGGTTTAGGAAAGAAGAAATCTGGATACAAAAGCTAGTCAAGTGGGAAGCAGGACTGAGTCTTCGGCGGGCCATGTAAGCAGGTGCCTGGAACTAAAAGTGTGTTCCTCTATGGCATCCTGCTCGAGTACCTGTGATTTGACTCATGCCTAGTTCTGAACCGAGGTGGATGGCATACTGTGGTGGCAGCGTACTGTGATGGCCCATCTTGCTTGTCAGTTTAATAGGTACTAATCCTCCCATTCAGGGACTGGTTTGTCAACATGAGGGTGTCTTAGGAGTGAGAATTTTCCATACAAATAATGGTACAGGGGTAGGAACGCAAAGGAAAGTTTTGGGATGGACACATAGAACATGGGTGTCTTATGTACATAACATACTGTATCTTGTTCTGGATTTAAATTTGGGATTCCTGCATGTCTTGATAGGCAATGATAATGAATGATAAGGTCTAATAAATTTGCTCTTTAGAATTCTCAGGGCCTAGGTGGAGGTCCTTCCTTATTGTGAAGTATCTCAGAGATGCTGGGAGGTGGGCTTTTCCTACTAAGCCCTGCTTTGCCTTTCTACTGTCAGAAACTCGAGGCTTTGGGGCATACTTTGGGACTCTGTAGCATCTGTTATGTGCTATTGATTGGAGTCCTTTGGAAAATTGTTCCTAAACACCCCAGGTCTGGTTTGGTTATGAGATTCTACCCCTACTTAGATATTGCATTCCAGTGGCTCAAGATTATGAGCTGATATTTCTTGAAGTTTATGTGTTGCATGCATTACATTGATTTGAATAGCAGTAATATGATTACGCCCCCAGAAACATGGCACTACTTAAAAGCAAAGCTTTCATGAACACCAAGTGTGGCAGCCAGACGTCAGCATCATTGCATCCCCCCAGGGTTTGGCTGTTATGTTGTGAAATGCCAATATGTCCCCCCTAACGAGTTTCTCCCTATGTCTGTGAGTACAGGAAAGCGATCCACTGCTGAGCATGTCTCAATAAAACACCCTGTATAGCTCAGCAGCAAAACACTGGCAAGTCTGCTACGGGAAGGGCAGGCCCTCTCTGTTTTTATGAGTCAGTCTCATTCCTATGCTGTTTATTGTCTGCACTGGAAAAGTATTGAGAAAAAAATGTGAAGTGTGCATTCCAATGGAGGAGTTACGGTAGAAATACATCCCTTTCAACTGTGTTTCTAGGCATTTCCTGGAAATGAATGTGGCAAAGCAAATAACAGTAGACAGTGGTGAATGAATGCTTGCTGCATGCCAAGCATTGTTCCGGGCTTTCTGTATGGATCATCTCACTTATAAGACACATCTCAGCCACGTGGCTTGGGCAGTCTCCATTCAGGACCCCCAGAGGATAAAACTTACTTAAAAGGCACATAGTAATGGGCAGGGACAGCACTTGAACCCTGGCAGATCCTTGGTGTTTTATTTACCCTAACCTCAAGCAAGCCCCACCCACATGAAATGCTTTGCCTACAAGGCTTATCTAAGCAGGAACCACCTCTCTCATTTGCATTGTTTGGTGTGTCCAGCTAGATGATTTATTCTTCCAAATGTAAAATTGCACTATATTATATATGCATGTGATTTGGGTGAAAAGACTTCAACCCTAAAAGCTCCACCACCTTTCTTTTCATCCTATGTGCAGTTTGTAGCAACACTGAGACATTTTTTATTCTTTGTCTCCAAATTAGCCCTGCACAACACAGAGAAGTGTGTGTGTGTGTGTGTGTGTGTGTGTGTGTGTGTCCATCCTTCTGAATGAAATTGTTTCTCATGGAGCCCACCGCAGACCTATTCCGAGAAGGCTGCTGCCTGCAATCCACCCAGCAACGGTGAAGCAGGTGACGCTGTGTGTGCCCAGCCTCTCTGGAAGTGTCTGCACAGATGTGTACCATTTCCACTCCCTCTCCCTGCCTTCGGATTCCTGGAGCCAACACCCACCCACTCTGACAGCATCTCCTCTCTCTCTCTTCATTTTCAAGGAAAAAAGAAAGAGGCAGACAGAAATAGAAGGGAAGAGAAGGCAGCTCGACGAGCAAGTACTGCTGCTGCAGCATTCTAAGGTAAGCAGCCAAGCGAGCGCGCGTTATTAGCCTGCAGATCACACCTCTCAGAGCCGGGCAGAACCTGCCCTGCATTGGAGCGAGCACAGTGCAGCACCGCCTGAACCAGCCTGAACCAGCCTTTTCCACGCAGCCAAGAGAGTGTCTCTTGGCTTTCCCTGTGGTTTTTCTCGGATTCAGGCATCCTTAGAGCATTCTGATCTCTACAGGCATGAGACACCACTGCTACTGTGCAGCACGCTATATATATATCATCTGGATGTGAATTCTCCACATGGTCCCACGTTGTTTCCCTTGTGTATTTTGTTCGGAGGCTCCAAAGGCTGCACATCACATAATGGACTTTTTGGAAATGAAAATGAATCTTTCTTGCTGGGGTGGGAAGGGGAGGGAGAGACGAGACAGTGTGATCTAATAAAAGGACAGTATTGCATGTTTCAGATTGTTCATCTATTTTATTTTGACTTTACTGTGTTGGAGATGTCCTGTTAGAACAAGCGATTCGTCAAACATGACTTTCAAATGATTTGACTTGGTTCAGTGTCTGTTGGACCTTAATTACAGAGAGAGAAGGAAGGGGAATGTAGTGAGCTTTCCCCTTTAAAACATAATGCACTTAAGCATTGTAATTGATTACAGTAGAGGAGACAGCTCTGTCACTGTCACAATCGCCCCACCAGTGGCTGAATGTTGCTTTCTGCATGTCCAGATAATAATGTGGTCATGTTCATGGACCAGATGGGAGTTGTTGCTTTTTTTTTTTTTTTTTTAAAGAAAAACCTCCTGCTGGCCTCAGGTTGCTATGACCTTGTGTGTGCAGAATTGCTTATCTTGGAGGACTGATTGGGAGGGGGCTGTTTGAGGTGTCCTGCCACGTGTGCATTATTGGGACTTTTTGAAACCAAGTGGGCCTTTTACCCTTGCATGTCTCCTTCTTTGGAAAACCAGGTTGTGCTAAATGAATCCTCAGAGTAAGAATCTTGAGCAAGCTGGCTCATGGTTTCAAAGAGCAATCTGACCTATATCTGCTCAGCGTACTTGTGAGTTCACCATGAACTCTAACAAGAGACGTGTTCCAGAGGAAGAAAGGCAGCATGGCGCTGATTGTCCATTTCTCTCTGTCCTGTCACTCTATCTCCAGCCTGTCCTTGTAGTGACATGCACTGTGTTCAGACGCTGTCACTGTCTTCTGACAACAGTCCTGGGGGAGGACCAAGGTAAAATGAGAACTATCTTTCTAGGGAGGTGGAGCTTACAAACACTAAGATTGCACAGGCCAATCTGGAGAGAGCAGAGTCTCTGGCCCAGAGTGCAGGCAGTTCACCCCCTGTGGAAGAGAGAACTCGGTTAATTATGGGCTAAAAGGAGAACTTCCTGTTAAAAGTGGATGCTTCAGCCAACAGTCCCTCTCCTTTCAGCCTCAGCACAGTACAATACTTTTGTGTTCCTTAATTCAAGCTCAGAGGGTGAACATGTCACAGACCATGTTCCTTTCTTCTCCCCTGTCATCATTCTGAGTGCCGGATAAGATGTCAAGGACTCATTTATTGCTGGTGTTCAGCATAGTCTTACACTGGTCTGTTAATATTCCATCTATCATTTCTCATCTTCCCATCCATCCATCCATCCACCCACCCACTTATCCATCCACCCACCCACCCACCCTCCCACCCATCTATCCATCTGTTCGTCTGTCTGTCCGTCCGTCCGTCCACCCATCCAGTTTTAAAAAAAAAAGCAATAGAACTCCATTTTATTCGAAGAAGTATTAAGGTTCCATAAAGGATTGGCATGTGAGCATTGGGCAGTTTCTGAATCTGGCTACCAAGTGTACATGCAACACTTACATTGTGGTAATCTGGCAAATAGGGGATGGGCCGAAGGTAATTGGTAGTTTAGTTAGCAGAGACCAATGCATTGTCTTTTCCTCTCTTGGGAGAAGGCTTGTGTAGAACGAGGATGAATTACTTGCCTCGAAAACTAAAAAGGAAAGACCCAAAGCTCCAAAGGTGCCAGTGTGCATCAGAGGGGTATAAACTAAGGAAGCAGGAATATTTATAAGACAAGAAGAGGCCTTACTGTGCTCACATAAAGCAACTATGATTCTGTCTCCCTTCGTCCTGAACACAGCCCTCCTAAAGTAGAGGGCTGACTTCCACAGAAGGAAGAGGGTGCCTGACTGGGGAACAGAATCACTTCAGCCACCAAAAGAAGGGAGTGTGTTCCACTTTAAATGAAGTGACTGTTGGCTGAACTGAGTAGTGAGTCATCTTTCCTACCATCAGTCAGTTTCCAGCTTGGTGGTCACTGCCTAGGCGGAGGAAAATGCGCTGAGGTTGTACTCTTTCCCGTGTGAGCTTCTCAGAAGAGAGCCACTAGGCTCCTCCCAAATGCCAGGAGCCTCCACATCCTCCTGTCCACTCAGTAATTCGCACCATTTCTTTGAAGTACCTAGCATGTGCCTGGGATTTTAAATATAAACTCTCAATAGTCATCACAAGATAGATGCCACTCTCCTCATCTCACAGTCTGCAAAAGCTCATGGTGGCAAGGGATTTGCTCAGAGGCACATAGTCTGTTAAGTTGGGGCTTCTAAGTTGATCCCCCCCCCCCCGCCCCCGGGCTGTCTGTTTCCATGGACAAGGCTCTTCTCAGGACACTGTTCTCTTTGAATGGATGGGTCCTTTCAGATGATTTGCTAGACAGGTGCCAATTGCTGTCACCACTGGCTGTTTTACTCTCAGAATATTTTTATGGGATACAGAAGATTTGAACCATGTGGAGACATGTCAACATGATTACTATAGGTTTTGTAAAGTAGTAAATATTAGGAAAGATGTCAGCAATTGACATTTAGTTCACTAATTAACAAAATCCCAGACATTCTTGGAGAAAATAAATATTCTCTGTGCAAAGCCAAATTAGAAAGGCATTAAGGCTAGGTTTCATATCTACTGTGATACAATTTTGATGTTCTTTGTATGCCTCTCATATCTGTAGTCACATATATTCACATATCAAATGGATTATGGATGGTTATTGTCATGCACTGAGATATGAATTATTTAGGCAGAGCTACTGGTCTCCTGTCAAAACAAATAAATAGAAAGCAAGGCAGTGGTTTGAGCAGGGGAATGTTTGCTGAATATTCTTACTCATGGCGACATTTAGGAGTGCATGGTAATGCCACAGAATAGAGTACCATGACTTCATATGGCAACCGTGGGCAATTCTGTAATGAGACTGATGACTAGAGTATGAAATGCTAAGACCCTGCCTGCTCTGCCTGTGACTGGAAGCCTTGAGATGCTGTGTCTGAGATGCTCATCTTCAGTTAATAACTAACATTTTTATGTAAGAATCCCCAGGAAATACTCAGTAATCAGACCAGGAAGCAATTTTGATGCTATATTAGATTTGCTTATTTATAAAATGAAGAATTATATCATCATTTCAAAAACAAATAAGATCATCATAAAAAAATCAACTGAACACTTACCATCCAGATATTTACCCCCTCCATGGTATATGATTTCTATAACCTCAATATATTTCTGTAGATTAAGATGGGTAGTCCTTGTCATAGGTTTCATCAGCCTTGGTGTGAAATTGATTTATATTGACACATGTATCCAAATTCTCCTTTTAAAAAATTTTATATGTGGGCTCTTTCAAATTCTCAAGCCAAAATTTTAAATTTTTTTTGAAATCTTATCTGACATTACGTTAATTGTTTTTTTTTTTTAATCATACCTGGGAAGATTTTCATCTCCAATGTTTGCCCACAAGCTTGCCTATACTTCAGTAGTCTTAATTTATCTAGAATTTATTTTCCAATAAGGTATGAGGTGAGAAGAAAGCTTTATATTTTTACTCACAGTGAGCCATCAACATGATTTATTAATTCATCCTTCCACTCATTGATTTAAATGTCATCTTTATTACATGCATATTTCACCCTTATACCCACGTCCACACCTTGTGGTCCTCTTTATCCCATTTATCTGTTCACTCCTAGGCTGGTACCATTCTCGTCTATTCCCTATAGTTGTGTTAATATAGTGTAATATTTCATGACACAAGAGCCATCATTATTATTCTTTTGAAAAAATGTTTTTGGTTTCTAATCTATGGGAACAATGATTTATTTTTATTTTTTATATAATATGACTTGTGATAGTGTGAATTAAAAATAATAAATCAGCTAATGTCTTACACCAGCATAGATTGAACTTAATATTCCTCTTTTGCCCTTTGGTTGAATGGCTAGAGATTTGTCTATTTTATTAGTCTTTTCAAAGTCCTAGGGTAGAGTACATGTTCTATGTGTATCACAATATGCATTCCTTTGAGGGTGCCACACTTATGAAGTGTTTGTCAGCACTGTCAGGAACAAATTGCTAATGTCATATCTTCAATGTGTATCACATCTTCAATACTTATTCAGGGGTGGGCAATTCTGACAAGAGTTTTCTTCTCTCCTGGGATGTAAAAGTCATTATATTTTAAAGACCATACCTTTCCTCTAGGGAAAACAATATGAGAAAGAGAGAGAAAGGACAGAGACAGAGACAGAGAGACAGAGAGAGAGAGAGCGCACATGCTAAATTGTAGCCAAGAATATTTATTGTCAACTAATTAAGGTCATTTGTTGAACAGCTCCTAAGGTATCAGGAGCTTTGTTGCAAAGATAGTAAGGAATTTTTTTACTTTTTAACACTAATTCAGATTTTTATTGGCTATTTGTATGTATAAAACTCCAATGTTAAAAATTTAAACATCCTGGACCAGTGGTGAAGGCACTTGCTACCAAGCTTTTCCTATCACGTCTCTGTACTATAACCAGAATTTGAGTGAAGGGTGAAACTATCTCTTTCATTAGAAGTTTTGGGTTTACTTCTCCCTGCAGATCAAAATAATATCTTATTAGGCATAACAAGGAGGACAGGAAAAGACTGACAGGTTAGGAGAAGGGGTGAGGGACAGGATATGGAAGAGTGCGTGAGTCAAAGCATACCGGGCTGGGGACACTGCTCAGTGGGGAAAGTGCTTTCTACGCAGGCATCATACCTGAATTTGGATCCCCAGAAACCTGTGTAAATGCCTGCGGTTCCAGCCTTGAAAGGCCAAGATGGGATTCCGCAGAGAAAGTTGGCTAGCAAGACCAGCTGTATTGGCAAGCTCTGAGTTTGATTAATTAGTTCCTGCTTCTGTGGGTCAGGTGGAAAGAGCAATTAGGCATGATTCTTGACATCAACCTCAGGCCTCAACTTGGGTATATACAAGTGCATGCATGCCTACCTGCAGGCAAAAATGTGTATATACATGTGCATACCACATATACACGCAAAAAAAAAAATGTGGAAAAGTACAAAAATAGCTATTTCCTTACCTGAGGTCTTAAGCCACCTTTTTTTTTTTTTTTTTTTTTTTTTTTTTTTTTTTTTTAGAAAAGTAAAGTTATCCACAGTCTAACCATCACCCACAAATGCAGCCAATGATAACTTTAGTCAGATTACAGATGGATGGATGAATGATCTACAGTAAAGGATAAACTCATGAAACACAGGAGAATATTTGAATAGTATGAAGACAAGGGAGTCTATAAACTCCTTTATAAAATGAAAAGGTTGCTAAGTATGACTTTCTAAACATGATGAGGGAAGAGAGGCAGTGAGGGGAAGACAGAGAGGAGACAGAGATGCTTTGCTCATCCTAACCCATCTTTCATGTTCCATCCCGCTCCAGACTCTTCTTCATGTTGCTTCCTGTCAGTGACCTTAGCTGTAAAAGAAAATGATTTAGGCAGACCATCTTCAAGTCTTTCTTTGCTTTGTTAGCCTACAATTAGGTATTTGCTAATGTGCAGTGTGTGTGAGCTTTGCTTTTGAGTAATTTGTTGTTTCAGCAGTTACTTGCTATGACCAACAGCAACTTCCTTTGTTAGCCTTGTGATGGACAGAAGATTCACCACCTGACAGTGAGAGACTCAAGGATGAGGGTAGGGTGACATCAGTGTGGAACCCATCACTGGAGACGATGGAGAATAGTTACCCATGTGAGAGAGAAGTGCAGTTGCCTAACTGAGTTTGTAAATCTTACTGGTGCTTTTAGGTGATGGAGACAAAACCCAGAGCTTCAGGCGTATTAAGTGCACACTTTACCATTGTCTATACATTCAGCCTCCCCCTTTGTGACTCTTGGGTAACCTTAAACTGATTTGGTGTTCTAACATCCTTTCCTGTTGCCAATAAAAAAAAAAAACCCAAATCACCATAAGATTTATTTTGATTACCCTTCCAGGGCACAGCCCTGGAGAGAAGTCAGGGCAGGAACTCAAGCAGGAACTTGAAGCAGAACTCATGGAGGAAATTGCTTGCTGGCTTGTTCTCAGGATTGTGGTTGGCTATCCTTTTTATACAGCCCAGCACCACCTGTCCATGAAATAGTATCAGTCACCCACAGTGGACAGTTCCTCAAGAGAGACTCTCATCTTAGGTGATGCCAGGCTACGTTGAGTTGACAGTTAGAGCTGACCAGGACAGGTAGGGAAAGAATCTTATCTCCAGTTACTTTAGTTATGCAGCAATCGCCCAAATGTGAGAAAATGCACATCTTTAAGTTTGCATTAGAAAACAAGTTGAGTGCTGTAAGTTGGCTTTTATTTTATTATATTTGCATAGTGCTTTGCCTACATGAATGCAGGTGTACTACATGCACAACTCATGTCTAAGGATATCAGAGGAGGGAGTCAGATCCCCTAGAACTTGAGTTGCAGGTGGTTGTTAGCTACCATGTAGGAGCTGGAGATTGAACCCAGGTCCTCTAGAAGAACAATTATAAGGAATAAGTTTTCCTGCTGGTCTGGACCCACCGTGGCACCAGCCCCAAATAATACACAGAGAGATGCTGTATTAGATATAATGTTGTTGGTTAGTTACTAGTTTCTTATCAGCTAGCTCTGTCTTAATGATTAACCCATTTCTATTAATCTAAGTATTTTTATGTGGTCTCATCTTACCAGGGAGTGGGGCCGGTGTCTGGTCTCTCCAGTCTATCCATGTTGACTCCTCCTTACTACTTCCTCAAATCCTCCTTGTCTCCTAGTCCTGCCTATCTTGCTTTCCTATTGGCCAACAGTGCTTTATTAACCAGTATGAGAAACATTTACAGAATGACACCTCCCATCATCTCCTCTTTTCTGTCTAAATAAAAAGGATTTTGATCTTAACATAGCAAAATATATAACACAACAATTATCAAATAAGAATTACAGTTAACAATATTTAGTCCGTTAACATTTAGTAAGACTTAAAGAAAATATTTTATTATCTATCCTATCTTTGTGAGTCTAAAGTCTTATATGTGACTTATTTTTAATCCTAACTAAGGAAAATTATAACCATAACTATCTGTCTTCAACTCCTTCAAAGACCACATGGCATCTCCCGTCAAACAATCAGTGCTTTTAACTGCTGAGCCATTTCTCTGTCACACGTTTGCTTCTTAGCACACTGTGACAGTCATCAAGCAGATCTCTATAATGGTCTGTAATGAAACTATTTACTGATCCCTCAATCCAGCATTATTGACCATTTTCTTGTTTTCCTGTTACCTTCTGTTCCTTGTAAGAATTGGTCCTATGAATCCTCACAGTGGTTCATTCCCAGGACTACTGATCCACTCTTGGGTACTCTATGGTCCTCAACCATGATGCACAAGATCAGTCTCTGCAGGCACCTAGGAGATGCTACTTTCCACGTAGGGACCACAAAGTAGTAACTCCTCTTTTGCCTGTGTTCCTGCTCTTCATTTTAGGGAGCCTAAACAGGCTCTTGTTGTATGTTGTTTATATCTCATTTCCCAAAGCAGCAATTATTCTTTCCCAACCATTGAACTGAAGTGAAAATGTTTTGTCCTCCTCTATAGAATATTCACACACTGGCACAGGAGGGGTATATATGTTTAACCACACTAGAGATGCTGCTGGGAATGTTATGTGAGTCACTAAAGGTTTTTATTAGGCTGGTTTTAGTTTTCATTTTGATTTTTTGAGACAGGGTTTCTCTGTGTAATAGCCCTGACTGTTCTGGAACTCACTTTATAGACCAGGTTGGCCTTGAACTCACAGAAATCCTCCTGCCTCTTCCTCCCAAGTGCTAAGATCAAAGGCATGCACCAACTGGAATAGAAGGTGTGTAGGGCATGAATTGTTTTTTTGTTGTTGTTGTTGGTTTTTTGTTTGTTTGTTTTTGTTTTGTTTTGTTTTTTGTTTTTGTTTTTGTTTACAGCCATAATAGTGTTGGGTATGAGGTAGGGTCTCAATAAATACACAACTGAATTAAAAAAAAAAAAAAAAAGATGTAGAAAAGCAACAGTCCAGGAATCCTCATTGCATGGCCAGGCAGGAGTGGACAGCCATGTCAGGGAGGGTGAAGGCAGTGGTCAAGCCTGAACTGTTGAGGGGCAGATCTGTTGGAGAAACCCTGCTAGTCCAGAGAAAGATGTGGACCAGAAGGTCTCATTTTATCTGTTGTCTTCCCTCCTTCCCACAGTCCAAAGTGCTTCGGGAAAAATGGCTGCTGCAGGGTGTACCTGCAGGAACAGAGGAGGAGGAGGAAGCCAGGAGAAGGCAGTCTGAGGAGGACGAGCTCAAAGTCAAGCAGCTTGAGGATAACATTCAGAGGTAGGTGATTCCAAGACTGCAGTAACCACTGCTTCCCTGGAGGGGGCGCTTTCTCTATGCTTCGACCTTTCCCTGGGGCTGTAGAATTGCCTTTCTAAATAGATGCTGGTGCGGTCAAACTTCTGTGTGAATCATGTTAATATTCATAACACTAATACTGCATTGGTCTATAATACAGTACAAAGATGTCTTCCAGCAGTTTGCCCTTCCCCAAATGCACTGTTTTGAATTCTCCCATCTGCTTCTGTCTTTTTTCCTTTATGGGTCCAGCTGCTGGCTGCTGTGGCCAGTGTGAAGGGTTTCTGTGCAGATTTGCCACATGTGATCAATTGAGATGGGAGAACTGTAGCCAAGACTCTTGGAATTGAGATGAAGGGAGCATAGGAAAGAACAGTCTCTGTACCTCAGTTCAGTAGATCAACTTGGCTCCGCCTCCTTGAACTGCTCAGCGAGTACATTGTTTCCCTGATTGCTCTCAATCAGGTTCTGACTATCTCAATATAGAAAATGGGTGATCTCTCTGTGGCCAGGAAACTGGTCAGGCCCATTCAGGAGCAAACTCTAGCTATCCCAGGTCTCAGGACACCTAGACAGAGATACAGCTGGGGATGGAAGGTGGTGGGTATACAGGCCTTAGAACTGAGTCTTTCCAACAAACCCATTCCACCAAATTCTGCTAAGACCTTCTCTCTGGCCCTCCAGCTCCTCCTGGGGCTGAAGCAAAGGCTTAGCAGGTGCACCAGAAGGCAGGAAAAACTCCAGCTCAAGGCCAGTTTAGGGTACATAGTCATATCCTGTCTCCAACTAACTAACCAACTAACAAGTGTGTCAGGTCTCTAGAACAGTGGTTCTCAACCTGAAGGTTGTGATTCCTTTGGGCCATATATTAGATATCCTGCGTATCATTTATTTACATTATGATTCATAATAGTAAATTGCAGCTTTGAAGTAGCAAACAAAAATAATTTTATAGCAAAGGGTCACAGCATTAAGGTTGAGAACTGCTGCTCTAGAGGAACAGAACTGAGACAATGAATATATATTAAAGAGAGATTTATTAAATTGACTTACATGATAAGGTCTAGGTAGACCAACAAGGGCTGATTCACAAAAGGATTCTGGGAGAGATGCTGGTCTTCAGTCTACACTTAGAAGCCCAGAGAAGCTGGTGCTACTGTCAGTTAAGGAATGTAACAGTCACAACAATAAGTCAGATGAAGTTATCAACAAAAGCAAAGACAAGCAGTCCTCCTCCCATGCCCTACGATCTGGGCTACCACCAGAAGGTGCCGCCTACATTTCGTTCTGCTCATCCCACCTCAGGTGCCTTGGTCAAGATAGTCGCTCACAGGAGTAGACAGCACTTGTGTTTTCATAGAATCCAGTTGCAGTCAAGTTGACAGACATGAAAAGCTGTCACACAAGCAAAGCAGAGTGTGCCAGCTGCACTGTCACTTGCTGTAGACAAAGCTGGCAAAGACTGGAGGCATCTCGGAGGTTCCAGTTGTGTCACTAAATGGATAACCAAGCTGACTGCAAATCCCAACACATACTTCAGCCTGTACCCCTGATTTGCCGGGGCCCTAATGTGTTTTAAAGAGCACTCAGAACAGCTTGACTGACCATTGCTTGTGGGAGATGCGGTCAAGAAAACGTTTGAGGAGGTGTATGCATATAGACACACACATACACATATGTGTATGTGCACATATCCATACATGAACACACTTTATGGAGCACAAAGGGTTAAGAGCTAAACTGTTACTAGCGTTTATACAGAGGAGAGTACGTTAGTACAGAAAAGAGTCGATTCTATGACCTTTTTTGTTTTTCTTGTGGGTTTGAGTTTTTATGGTCTGGGAGTTGGTAAGCCACTGACAGACTGAGATGGGGCCCTGGAGGTTCATCTTAATAAAAGCTCAGTTTTGGCAAAGTCAACCAGTCAGGTGTGCTAAAAGTGTTAGGGGTTCAGATGGGCATGGACAGCCACAGAAAAGCTGAGCAGATCTTTCCACCTTTGAATCAAGAGGATGGAGAGCTCATGCATAGGTATGTGGAACCTTCTTGGAGCTCCTTGAAGAGTGAAACAGCCAAGACAGGGAAAAGGGGTTAGAGGCTGTGCTGAGTCAGGGGATGCTTTGCCTGCTCCTGTCATGGTCTGCCAGGCACTGGCCTCATGGGCACTGGATGTGGACCAGAGAAGCTGTGTTCTCAGCGTTACCGCATATGAGTAAGGCTGTTGTGGGCACCTTCCCCTTCTCCAGGCCTCCTGATGGTCCTTCCTGTTTCGGGATTTGAATTCTGCTTCCCCTGCTTTTGTATTCTCTCCTCTATAGATTAAGTGACTGTTGTGCAACTTGCTTGAGATCAGAGATGTTCGCATTTGGATTTTAGTATTTTTTTATTTCATAATCTTTGCCTATATACAATGAGATACTTTGGAGATGAAACCACAAAATGCATTTGTTTTGTATACATACTTTACACATAATCTGTAGGTAGCTTTGTACAATAAGTCTTAATAACTTTTCATTTAAAACAAACTTTGTATATTGACCCATTGGAGGGCGGTATGGAGAAGCCTGCTTGTCAGTAGTCATGAAGATTCAGATGTGGAAGCATTCCCAGCTTTAAGCCTTCGGATTAAGTATGTTCAACCTTTGTAGGCTTTCATGACTTGGCATTCCAGTCCCAAGGGAAGAAAAGGACTGCCATCCTTCATGCTGTAAGGAACACTCATTCTGCTGAGATACTTCCGCACGGTTGGGCACAGTTGAGTTCTGTCTTACAGAGGGCTGTTGGAACAGCTGTCAGGCTCATGGTACACTTAAGCTTCCTGCTGTGTGACAAAGTCTGAGGATTGGCCACAGGACTCTGCTTGCTTTGGCTGAGATCAGCTAAACGGCACTAAGCTGTAGGTGGGATGCAGCTGCTTTCATTTCTGCACACCAACAGACCAACAGACTGCTCTTATTATCTTACTACAGAAATAACAAAGGCGCTGGAGAGCAGAGCAGAAACAAGGCCTACACTTAGAACTGCCCATAAGCTAGATGCTAGAGCATGCTGGTAGCCACACCCAGTCAAGGAAAGGAGACAGGTGGACCATTTTCGGTAGAAGAAACACAGATAAAAGAAGGATAAAGGGTGGGTGTGGGTAAGTTCATCTTCCACAATTACGATTGTTGAACTACAGAAGAGAGTGAAAACTCAGACAGCACATTAGGGCAGAGGCAAGGGAAGAAAAGATTAAAGAGGAAAGGAGTGGTTTGGGGGTCTTGTCCAGAATCTGATCTTTACTGAACAGGAAACCTGGAAGATGCCACAGAGCCTCCGAATAAAAGAATTTGTGCAACAAAACACTGCTCTGTAGCTCTTTAGCTTCCTGCCCACTGCTCTGAGTCACTCCTTTGCAATGTATTAGTGTATTAGATTCTCTTGAAAGGGACACATGGTTCTGTTTTCCTATACTAAAGTAAGTCAGGCATGGTGCTGTGTTTTTTGTAGTCTCTGTATCCTGGAAGTGGAAACAGGAGAATCCAGCAGTTCAAGGTCATCCTAGACCATCCCTGGCTCCATGAGACCCAGTCTCCAAAGAGACTGGGATGTAGCTCAGTTGGTAGAGTGCTTGCCTGGCATGCACAAGGCCCTGGGTTTGATCCCAGCGCCTTGTGCACCAATTATGGTGGTGCACAGCCGTGCTCTCAGTGTCTAGGAAGTGGAGTCTGGAGGGTTATAATCCAAAGTCATCCTTTGCTACCTAGAGAGTTTGAGGCCAGCCTGGGCTATATGAGGCACTTTCTCAAAATGAAATGAAACCAAAAAAGTCTGAAGGAAGAATAGAACATTGCCATCATAAAGCATGGAAAAATAAGGGTAAACTTGTTTAGAAAATAAAAGGGGGTTGATGGCCCACCAGAACCTTAAGTGTGTCTAGAACTTACTTCTTTATGATTGGGTCAATCTGAATAAGATTAATGTGATTAAATAAAACATGAAGACTTTGTTCGACATTTTCCTATTTCCTATTTCCTAACCATCAAGAAAGGATGAAAAGATACCTTTTTAATTCATCACAGCCTGGAGTGCTGTAGGAAATCTCAAGCCTCATTCTTCTGAAAAGTTAGTTATGCACATAGGCCGTGCCTTGGTATGAAACATCTTATGCCTTTCAGAGCTACTGTTGGTGGTGGTTTGATTTTTCAGGTTAGCCAAGGAGGAAAGATAGAAGTAGTACAAAAGGAGAAGAGGGGTGGATGGAGGGAAGGAAGAAGGGAAGGAAAATAAACCTAGAGTATTAAATCTTGGACATTATAATCACCTTGGGGAGGTTTTAAAAACAATTCATAGGTCTCGTTCCAGAAATTGGAATTCAGTGCCTCAAGTAAGGAGTCCCTGGCTCAGTGGGTAAAAGCACTTATCGCCAGACCTGGTAACCTGAGCTCAATTCCAGTATCCGTATGTTAGAAGAACAGAACTGACCCCAAGAGATCGCCTTCTAACCTCCACACGAGCACTGTGTGCCCACCCACCCCCACACAGCCACTGCCACACACAATGTATAACTGTTTAAAAAAGGTTAAGCATGTTCCGTACAATTGTGTTTTAGAAGAATTACCAGATAAAGAGAAAACCAGATTGTAAGATTCCGTTGCTAGCACTGATGCCAGGAAAATCAATACAACACACAAGGCTAAAGGAGAGCAGCCATGGCCCTTGAATTCAGACTGATTCTGGCTTTGACTCGAGGACATTTGAAAGCACCTTTGGGGACTACTGAGTAAGTGTGAGCCGCTTGCCACACAGCTGAGTTCTTTTCCAAAGGCTCTCCATGGCAGAGCTTTGATCCTTAGGAGAAACAAGCTCATCGTCCTAGGCTAAGAAAGATGCAGACCAAGGAAGCTGGCTACCTCTTCAAAGCCTAGAAATTTCAATTGCTTTTCCTAGATCAATGGCTGAAGTTATAAGCAATATGGCCTCAAGTCACGCCATCAGAGTGG